CTCCCGGCGCAGCCACAGGCACGAGCGGCCCAGACCCTCCATGGGCTCGCGGCTTCTGGCACGTCGGGCCTCTGGAGCTGCGGAGAGAGGGAAGGCGAGCAACGTGAGCCCGCGTCCTTTGCGCCCGGCTGCCAAGGGGTGAGGGCCCAGGGGCCAAGACGTGAAGCCAACCCCGTGTCTTGAAGGTGGGCGCCTAGGGTCCCGCAGGGACACCCCTCTACTGCATGACTCTCTTCCCGCGCCCCTCCCACAGTAAGGATTACGCTCCCCGTGCGCCCCAAGAAAAACACCCGAGGCAGCCACTCGCGCTGCTCCCTACCCCGGGAAGTGCGAGAGGTCCTCCAGAAGAGGAAGAAGGCTGGGCGTCCAGCGGCCCCTTGGAGAGCTGTGGGTCCCTTCCCCACCTCTCCTGGGGACCCAGGGCCGCGGCCACCTTCCCCTATACCCCCTTTCCACATCTCTCACTCTGCCGCCTGCCCGCAATCACTCCCCATCTTTGAGCTTCCGACTATGGGGGAGTGTGCACGTGAGAGCGGGTCAAGGCCGAGATCTCTCCCAAGGCCAGGTGGGCCTGGGGGAACAGAGGTGGTGCCTAGGTGATGGACCTCGGCAGGCTGGACCTCTAGGAACTGACCTGGCTCTGGTCCCTCTCCTCCGCCTCCCCTTCCCCCGCGAGAAAACAAAAGGAGAGAAACCTGGAGCTTGATCCCGCGGCGGGTGGCCGCACGCGGATGTCCCAGCCACGGCCACCGCGGACTGAGGGGCGCCGTCCCCGGGCAGGGTGTCCCCGGGCCCGGCCACAGGCAAGAAGGCGGGGCAGCGGAGCAGACGCGCACGTGGAGTGGAGGCCGAGTCTACTCGCCGCCCGCGCACCCGCAGCTTCCTGGCAGTGAAGACCCTGCTTCCACCTTGGAAGCTGCTGCCTTTGGACTCAAGAGTTGCCGTTCAGATGGGCGGGGCGGCGGGGGCGGGCCCAGGGGGGCCAGCGAGCCAACGGGTGCCAGC